TGAGACGGAGTTTCACTCTTGTTACCCAGGCTGGAGTGCAATGGCGCGATCTCGGCTCACCGCAACCTCCGCCTCTTGGGTTCAGGCAATTCTCCTGCCTCAACGTCCTGAGTAGCTGGGATTACAGGCACGCGCCACCATGCCCAGCTAATGTTTTGTATTTTTAGTAGAGACGGGGTTTCACCATGTTGACCAGGATGGTCTCGATCTGTTGACCTCGTGATCCACCTGCCTCGGCCTCCCAAAGTGCTGGGATTACAGGCTTGAGCCACCGCGCCTGGCAGTTTTTCCTTTTATCATTGGCAATTTGGAGCTCTTGTTAAAGAAATCCTTCCCCACTGATAAAGTTACAAAGTTGCGTGTTTAATTCATATATTTTATTGTTTCTTTATCACTAACATAAGTACTTAAGATCACAGATTTAAGATTACAATCCTAAATCTTAAATTTGCAATCCTAGGGTGGTAGTTTTTTGAAATTACTAAGATTCAATAATTACTTTCAAGAATTGAGGTGAAATTTATATCACAAAATTAACCATTTTAAAAGGTACATTTCAGTGGCGTTCAGTACATTCACAGTATTGTATGACTGCCACCTCTGTTAAGTTCCAAAACATTTTCACCACCCCAGAAGAAAACCCTGTGCCCATTTCGTAGTTACATCCCATTTTCCCCTCTGCTCAAACCATACTGTCATCAATCTGCCTCTGTGGATTTAAGTATTCTGGATATTTCATATAAATGTAATCATACATAGCCTTTTAGGTCTGTCTGCTTTCACTTAGCATATTTTCAGTGTTCGTCTGTGTTTTAACATATGTAAGTACATGCTAAAACATTTAATTTTAAAAATATATAGGTACATATAGTCCTGATAGCTGAATGATATTCTATTGTGTGTGTGTGTATATATAAATATATGTATCATATTTTGTTTATTCATTTTTCCATTGATGGATATTTAGGTTGCTTCTACCTTTTGGCTATTGTGAATAGTGCTGTTTTGAACAATTGTGTACAAGTATTTGTTTATATACATCATTTTAATTCTTTTTGATATATACCTAGGAGTGGAATTCCTCTGTCATTTAGTTAATTCAATTTTAGCTTTTTAAGAAACCACCAAACTTTTTTTTCTAGTACCCACAACCCCTTATTGTACATTTCTAGTTTGATTTCATAGTCATCAAAGAAGATACCTTCTGTGATTTTAGTCTTTTAAGACTTATTAAAACTGTTTTATGGCCTATACTATATGGTCTACTCTGGAGAGTGATCCATGTGCGCTTGAAAAAACATATATTCTGTTGCTGTTGCGTGGAGTCTACCATTTTAAATTTGCCTTTTTCTTGATTCAGCGTTTGTTTGATTGCTATAAAACTTGCTTGATTGCTATAAACTTTTAACTCTCTTCCAGAGTTCCCACAGTTGATTCTGACAGTTTTGCTCATTTTTTCTTTTATTTTTCTGTGGTGGGACAGTCTTTTGGAGCTACCTACCCTGCCATTTTTGTTTACCACTTTTCATAATTACTTTTTACAAAGAATGTTTTATATACCCTCTTTAATATTCTGAAATATATAAATAATACACAGAGAAGTTTAAAAAATCAGTATAATGCTTTAATTGTAATATAAAAGAAATTTATAGTAAAGTAGCATGAATTATAGTTATGTAAATGCTAACATGACATTGGAAAGCATAATGAACTAGTAGTATGTTTTAAATAAGTTGGATTGAAGAAATGTAAGAAAAATCAGAATCCATTCTGTACAAGTGCTGGTAAATGAAAGTCTAAAATCTAGTCATAGGCTGGACCTAGTGGCTCGTGCTTGTAATCCAAGCACTTTGGGAGGCCAAGGCTGGCAGATCACTTGAGATCAGGAGACCAGCCTGGCCAGCATGGTGAAACCCCATCTCTACTAAAAATGCAAATATTTGCTGAGCATGTTGGTGGGTGCCTGTAATCCCAGCTACTGGGGAGGCTGAGGCAGGTGAATTGCTTAAACCCAGGAGGTGGAGGTTGTAGTGAGTCAAGATTACGTCACTGCACTCCAGCCTGGGCAACAGTGTGAGACTCTGACATACATACATACATACTTGTCGTAAGGACCTTTTTTTTTTTTTTTTTTTTTTTTTTTTTTATATAACTACTAGGAATGAGAGAAACAATTTGAAATAAAGTTAAATTAATACAAATTATGGACTAAAGTGGTGAAGGAAAGGAGAAAGTATGGTAGTCTTATAAATTTGTTGGACCTTATTTGAGAAAGCAATTTTTCAGTAAATAATGAAGTATCAGAGAACAGATCTTTTGTTTTAAAATCCTAACATATATCAGGTCTATTATTTAGTCTTGAGTAGTAAATATCTTTGCAAACAATACCCTTTCATTGATTATGAGATTTGAAGATGGACTTTTTAATTAAAAAATTAATTTATCTCTGACTAGTATCAAAGTAAGTTTGAAAAAAAAAGGCAGTTACTAAAAAAATAAAAGATTCAACTGATAATTTTTACAATACATTTTATATATATGCACAGACACCTATATATGATATGCAATATTTTTAGAACAACCAATGAAATTAAATAAGATAACTTTATTTCATGTATTACCATAATTTAACATTTGGTACTAAGTCCGTTAAGAGAGTCTTACATTCTCCATTACGTAAGTTGGCCTTATTGCTTTTACAGTGACTACATACCCTTATACTAAAATATTTTCAAATAAATGCATAGTTTAAAATGCAAGAAGCTGGACTCAGGGACTCATGCCTATAATCCCAGTACTTTGGGAGGCTGTAGTGGGAGGATTGCCTGATCCCAGGAGGTTGAGACCAGCCTGGGCAACATAGTGAGACCCTATGTTTAAAACAACAAAAACAAGAGTAACTTTCTTTCCCAGAAGAGGATATGATACTCATAACCTGATTTAGAAGCTTTCTTTATTACACTGTTTAAATTGTGTTTGGCCTCCAGGTAGTTTTTTTAGCTTAGCTCTTAACAAATGTTGATTGGCCTATTTCCTACACATTTCAAATGGAATAATCACCCTTTCTGTATTGTAAGTTCATAAAAGTCTCGTTACTCAGTGTATCTGTTAGAGTCATGCTTTTCCTGCCACTGAGTTACGGTGACAATTAAATAGTATTTTTGAAAGTGTATGTGTTTATGAAAAATCTGTGTTAAAAGCATTACTGTTAATATTTTAATAATAAATGTGACATCACATGTTCCAGAGACAATTCCCTTGAGGTAAGTAAGTCTCAATCATAAGTCAACATTTTGAGATTATGTAATTCTTCACATTAAAAATTAATTCAGGCCAGGCGCAGTGGCTCACGCCTGTAATCCTAGCACTTTGGGAGGCTGTGGTGGATGGATCACCTGAGGTCAGGAGTACAAGACCAGCCTGGCCATCATGGTGAAACCCCATCTTTAAAATAAAAAAAATTAATTCATAATCTCTCTCCCCCCCTTTTTTAAAAAAATTTTCTGTTTTTTTGTTTTGTTAATTCATAATCTCTTGCCTTAGCTTGCCCCTTAATCAAAGTTGCTTTTTAGGGGGAAGTGTATTTTACAACAAAGGTACTTCATCCTTTGGATATTGTATGTTTTGCAAATATGGAGCAAACTTCCTTGCCTTTATTAGGACTTTCCACGCTGGTATTTTCTCTTAGGTGTGTAACTGCCTTTATTTTCATGAGAACAACCTGTCTTCACATAGATTTAATTGCGTTAAGTTTTTTAGTTGGGGCATGTATAGGAATGTGAAAAGCAAAAAAAAAACATGTAATAGTTTTTTTTTTGTCGTTTGTGTTTTTGATTTGCAGGCTGCAGGCAAAATAAAAGTACCTGAGGAGAATTTCTTCAATGTTCCTGCTTTCTTAACTGTCTCAGGACAGCTTCATCTAGAAGTGATGTCAGGGTATGAAATATTCCTTTCTCTTTTGCTTTAATATATTATGGTTTGGATGAGAGTGAAGTAGTGCTTCCCTTCCCATGCTCAAATCTAAAAGTTGAAAATAGTTTTTATCATTAGTTCTCTTGAATTTTCCAAAATATTCAAGTTTCTTATAATACAGACTTGCTTTTAGTGAAAAATGTAACACTGAAAATACAGAGTTGTGATTTTTTTTCTTTTTACTAATCTTTCTTGGTTGAATATCAAACATGTAATCGCAATTTACTTGTAATTAATCATATTTATGGAAGTAAAGGCAATTTATAGTTTTTACCTGAACCAGTTATTATTCCATATCATTTTACAAATAGTAGTATTTGAAACAGATGGAAGAAAAATTTTTTCCAATAATTGGTTTAAATAAAATTAACTCATGTCTACATTTTGAGAGGTGTACAACAAATTACATCTTTTAAGTCAGATCAAATGAATTTTAGCAACTGTCAGACCTCTGGAAAGTCACTGTATTCCTTGGAGCCTAACCTTTCTTTAAAACAGGGGATTGAACAAGAAGATCTTTAAAGTCCTATCTAAATCCTGTTCCATAATTCTGTAGGTAATTCCTTTTTTTTCCCATGTATTTTTATTTTTTTAGAGGTGGAATCTTTCTTTATTGCCAAGGCTAGAGTATACGGTTGCACAGTCATAGCTCACTGTAGCCTAAAATGCCTGAACTCAAATGATTCTCCTGCCTTAGCCTCCTCAGTAGCTGGGACTACAGGTTTGTACCACCAAACCTGGCTCTTTTTTTACATTTTTTGTAGAGATGGGGTCTTGCTGTGTACCAAGGCTGGTCTCAAACGCCTAGGCTCAAGTGATCATCCTGCCTTAGGCCTCCCAAGTAACTGGGACTCCAGCAACATGCCAGCACACCTGGCTAATTTTTTAAATTTTTTGTAGAGATGGGGTCTCACCACGTGTCCTAGGCTGTTCTCTAACTGCTGGATCAAGTGATTCTCCTGCCTCAGCCTCCCCAAATCACTGGGATTACAGGCATGAGCCACTGAGCCTGGCCTCTGTGGATAATTTGTTAATGCAGACTCAACAAGTACAGAGTTTTGTTTATGCATTTTTTTCTTTAAACATTTTCTCATTATAGGGATTAGGACTTAAAAAAATCTTTTCAGGAAATCGCTCTCTTGAAATGAGGGGAATCTTTTTGTGTTTTTTATTGCTTTAAAAATGCGCAGATGAGAAAACTCAAGGAAAATGTCATAGAATAGTTTGCATGTTTACTTTTGTGCTTTGCTACAAGAATGGAAAGTTAGTGGTGGGATAAAGATGGTCTTGAAAGTAACATTCTTTTCTGATTTATCTTTGAAACAAAAATATGTTATTTCATAGTTTAATAACCAAATGATTGGCATATTAGCAGAATACTGTGCAGAAAAAGTATCATAACAACACTGTGAGATTGTAGGATTTGCAGATCTGGTTGTAGGAAAGGCCACATCAAGCATGTCATGGAAAGTTCCTTATGCCTATGGAATTATAATTTTAAAAAATTAAAAACATGACTCATCCAAATACAAAATGAATGTTTATCAAAGATTTCAATCAGTTCATTAATTACAGAGGAAACAAGTAAAATAGAGGACATTTCAAAGAGCATTTGAGAAGCTGTGTATTCATAGACATTTTAATAATTGGAATAAGATTGCGAGGTCAGTTGCAAACTGGTTAATGTCTTTCAGACCAATACACCTTAACCTTTGGGATTATCTCTTCTACCTGGTAGAATTATTTGCAATTCTGCTGGCAAAAGATCTGTAAATTAGCATATAATTTTACTTAATATGGTTTATTTATTCAGTATTAAATAGACTAATGGAGCAAGTACATTTCCCTTTCCTTAAGTAATTAAGTAACTGTTGAATGGGTCTTTATCCTCCTATTATCTAATACCTTGAAAGGACATCACTTTTTTAAGGCTACAGCTTTTGTCCTTGTATTCAAGGTTTGGATAACCTTTCTTAACAGCCTTTTAGTATTCATTTCTATTATTTATAAAGTTAGAGGCAAGTTGTCTCCTCCCTCAGAAGTGTCATATGCGAAAGGTATAAACTTAAATGTTTGTTTCTCTATTACAATACCACTAATGGATTAAATATGTGTCTTTCCCAGTAAAGCGCAGTGAACCACAGAACACAGTGTTCTGTAAAACTTGACAGAAGATTAAATTGGTAGAATATTAGGTTTTGTATTTTTTAAAGTATGCTATGAAGTATTTCTACCAGTGTCAGTCAAATGTTCCTAGTTTAATATGCACAGTTTTAGGACTATTAATATACAGAACATAATGTTTCTGATTAAAGCATGATTTATTCTCCAATAAGAAATTGTTAGTCCTTTTTCCCTCAGCTTTGTTTTTTCTTCAGTTCCATTTAACAGACTTTATAAAAGGCAAAAGATTTATGCATTCTGAAGAGAAACCACAGTATTACAGATTTTTAAAAAGGAGAAAATGGTAGTTAAATTTAGACAGTTAACATTTTCCAAAAGGATATCTGTGTTGGTTTAATGGGTTTATGGTTCCATTTTTAAAGCTTTTTTAAAAAATAAACATTCTATGTTGGAATAATTTTTTTTTTTTGAGATGGAGCTTCATTCTTGTTTCCCCAGCTGGAGTCCAGTGGTGCAACTTTGGCTCACTGCAACCTCCACCTCCCAGGTTCAAGCAATTTTCATGCCTCAGCCTCCCGAGTAGCTGGGATTACAGGCATGCACCACCACACCCAGCTAGTTTTGTATTTTTAGTAGAGACGGGGTTTCACCATGTTGGCCAGACTGGTCTCAAACTCCTGACCTCAGGTGATCTACCTACCTCAGCGTCCCAAAGTGCTGGGATTACAGGCGTGAGCCACTGTGCCCAGCCAGAATAATTTTTAATAAATCGAAAAGTTGAAAAGATAGTGCATAGTTTTGTATACTTCCCATGCAGTCTCCCTCATTGTTAATGTCTTCCATGACCATGATACATTTGTCAAAACTAAGAATTTAATGTTAGAACATGACCATTAATGAAATTCTAGACTTTTATTTGGATTTCACCAGCTTTTCCATTAATACTCTTTTTCCAGGATTCAGTTCAGAGTACCACATATAATGTAGTTATCATGTTTCCCCAGTCTCTTCCATTCTGTGACAGTTTCTCAGTCTTTCTTTTTTATGACCTGTGGAATGTATTCTAATTTGGGTGTTTCTGACATTTTTCTTGTGGTTTGACTAGGGTTATTTGGGTATTTTGAAAGAATACCACAGAGGTGAAGGCTTGTGCCATCACATCATATCAGTGGATATGTGATATCCATATGATGATGTTAACCTTCATTACTTGGATACAGTACTGTTTGCCAAGTTTCTTTACTGAAAATATACTATTTTTACCTTTTCTTACTCTAATTTTTGAAAGTGAGTCTCTAAGTCTAGTCAACCCTCATTGGGAAGGGGGTTTGGGAAGAGGGAGATGGAGTTAAGAACCACCAGCAGGAGGGAGAATATTTGGAATTCTATATGAAGATTTGTTTCTCTTTATTCTTCTTTATTATTTATGTTAACATTCATATCTTAATAGACTCGCATATTTCATAGTTTGGGTTATAATTCATTGCTATGTTATCTACTTTGATGCTTAAAACTATTTTAGTTTTTGTTATTGGGAACTCATTCAGATTGTTGCTTATGTCTTTCGACATGCCCCCATACTTTGACTACTTACTTATCCTCTGGTACTATAAGATGCCTCAGCTCTTGTTTGTTTGTTGTTTCACATTCATTCACCACCTTTATTTGTTTTTATTTTTATAGTCAGTGAACTTACCCTGATATATTATTGTTGCTCCGAAGTCCATAGTTTACATGGGAGTTCACTCTTAGTGGTCTACATTCTATGCTTTTGGACAAATGACGTATATTCACCATTATAGTTACATACAGAATAGTTTTTGCTGCCCTAAAACTTCTCTGTTCTCTGCTTAGCAATCCTTCCTTCCTAACCCCTGGTAACCGTTGATCTTTTTACTATCTCCATAGTTTAGCCTTTTCTAGAATATCATTTGGTTGGAATTATACACATAGATCCCTTTTAGATTGGCTTCTTTTACTTAGTAATATGAATTTAAAGTTCCTCCAGGTCCTTTTGTGGCTGGATAGCTCATTTGTTTTAGTGTTAAATAATATTCTGTTGCCTGGATGTAACACAATTTACCAGTTCACCTGTTGAAAGACATCTTTTGGTTGTTTCCAAGTTTTGGCAAATTTCCCTAGGTTATTTTTTATTTTCCCTTCTCTTGTCCTAAAAATTAGTTATTTCTCTAAAGAGCCCTGGTTTCTTTTATTAGAAGATGGTATTTAGAAGCAGGATTGGGTCACTGCATATATTTGTTGTGACTGAGAGATTATGCCTTCTAAGCATTTCAGTAGACCGAGATTTTATTTTATTTTTTAAATAGAGAAAGTTAAGTGGATTTTCTTTTCTTTTTCTTTCTTTCTTTTTTTTTTTTTTTTGAGACAGAGTCTCACTCTTGTTGCCGAGGCCGGAGTGCAATGGCACGATCTCGGCTCACTGCAACCTCTGCCTCCGGGGTTCAAGTGATGCTCCTGCCTCAGCCTCCCAAGTAGCTGGGATTACAGGTGCCCCCCACCATGCTCAGCTAATTTTTTGTATTTTTAGTAGAGACGGGGTTTTACTATGTTGGTCAGGATAGTCTGGAACTCCTGACCTCAGGCAATCCACCTGCCTTGGCCTCCTAAAGTAGTGGGATTGCAGGTGTGAGCCTCTGCGCCTGGCTGCTAAATGGGTTTTCATTGCATTTGGCTTAATGAATATAATTTATAAGTGGTAAGTTCATTCCAAGAAGATCTAAGTTGTAAAACCTGCAATTAAGAAATGTCACATAATGAAGTATTCCATTTCCTATCAGTTAAAGTCAGAATTGGAGAAAAGCTCAGCCTAAAATGAAAGA